CCTTTCCAAGAAGGCGAGGTCTCACCTTCACCTTCCTTATCCTCTATCCGGATTCCACACCCAAATGCTACAATGTTCACTATCATCACATTTCCATACACCTTCAAGGGGAAGAAGAGCATCTGGATCAAATTGATTAAACCCAGGGCGGTCTGAGGGAGTTGCCACCATTGTCCTTTAATCCAATATTCCCAGAATTTACCACTCCACCTCAAGTGAATACCCCGGGCAGTTCCTTTCCAGAACCTCCCTGCTTAATCCCAGTAAACCTGTCCTTGTTCGTCCTCTGAGGAAGTTTTACTGCCTCGGTTCTAGGGAGAAATTCGGTTTGTACATGGATATCAAGAGCTTATGTTCTAAGTTAATATTAAACATAACTGAATAATCAAATAAGGAGCAGTTCTGATACTCATCCCAGGTGGCTATCGCTTGTACCTCAGAAAGATTCGTTTCCTGGACCCTACGCACTGCCAACACAGTGGAGATATTAAGAGAGGCATTATAAAAACCATTTTCTCAGAAGCTACAATTACTGGAGCTAGAAGCATAGAATGAACAATATTAGGTAGCCACCCAGTGAGTTCACAAACACCAATGAACCCGGGACCCCAGGAGGTCACTTCCTGGGCCCTCAGGGTTCATGGCTCGCAATACCAAGGAGGACCCAGGATTTGGTTTTTCGTCCAGGTCACAAGGCCTCACCTTCTCAGTTATTGCATTTTATGTTGTACCCGACAAGTTTGAACCACTGACCCTGCCGTTAGCAGTTCAATGCTTATGCTACAGCAACAATGGCTGAGACCAATGATGGTTTATATTCTAGGAAGAGGGTGGGGTCATTTTCCATAAACATCAGCCTCATCCCTGAATAAAATTGCCTTGTGTTAGCAAGGGAGAAACCAGGGCCCCCAACACATTCTTCTCTCTCTAGTGTGTGAGCAGGTGAAGCTTATTCTCTGGGAGAATTTTGGCCCTGGATGGATGTGAGAAGAGGGAAATCTACTTGAAAGGGACTCAGACATTGCAGTAGAAATAACTGATTAAGCACCTACTGTATGCCAGGTCCTTTGATCACTTGCAATTCAGACCTCATAACAGCCCCGTGAGGAAGGTTCTTTCCATTTTTCAGATGAGAAAACTGAGACCAAGATCTGGCCACAGATAGTGTGAGGCACAATGCTCACTGTGTGTTAGGCACTGAGGCAAGCATGTCACCTGGGTTAGGTGACACCTCAGTCCTAACTCCATGAAGTTCTCTTTCCCCCATTCTACTGATAAGGAACTTAGAGAAGTGAAGCAGACTGCCCCAAATCACAGAGCCGAGCTGAGCTGAGAACCCCATTGTTAGAAAGCCACTCCAGACAGCTCCCCAAATTTGGAGAAAACCTTCCAGTCTCCTTTTGGCAGCCTTTTTAGGGTTGTTGGCTCTGCCAGCAGATAAAATTAATAAATAAGCAAGGAGTTCAGGAAAAAAAATTTTTTTGCCTCTGGCTGTTATGAATCTGCCAAGGCCAAATGAAGGTCACCCTGCTGCCTTGACAGCCAACATTAAACAAAGAAATGAACCTCTAACATGATAGCAAGCAATGTTAAGTACTGTCAAGAAAAGAAAATCAAGCCACTTAGGTCCTGAGGTAAGGCTGTGGTTGCTGTGTTTAGGGAAAGATGGGGAAGCCAGCATGGCTGGAGCACAGTGGGTGGTGAGAAAGTATGGAAACTAAGGACAGAGAGATAAAGAGGAAAGTACATCTGGTTGGCTTTGTAGGATCTATTGCCCTGAGTGAAGCGGGGGAGCCATGGAGGGTTCTGAGCAGGATTCAGTGACAGGATCTAGGTCCTGGGTTCTTGTCTATTGTAGGGAGAATGGACAGTAAAGAAAGAGGTAGAAGCCAGGGCACCAGGGAGGAGTAATAGACAGCTACTGGAGAGGGTCATTGGGAGGATGAACAGAAAGTTGTCAGAGCTCACCCCGCAGCAAATGTAGACACAGCACTAGAACCCATTGCTTCATCTAATGAGCCTGTGCCAAGCACTCAATAGTTTGTGGTCTGCTTTTATTGATAAGGAGGCGCTGGTACTGTGGATTAAGCATTGGGCTGTCAACTGCAAAGTCAGCAGTTCAAACCACTAGCTCTGCAGGGGATCAGACTGTCTGCTCCTGAAAGATTTACAGTCCCGGAAACCCTATATAGGGTTGCTGAGTTGGAACTGACTCCATGGCAGTGGTTTTTTGGATGGTGGGTTTTTACTGATAAATTTTGACCAGTGCCTCATCCCCTGACCTGCCTGATTCCAGGTGAGGAACGGGGCTCAGTGAGGGTAAGAAACCTGCTGCTATCTCCAAGGGAGTACCTTGGTGAGGTGGTCCATGTCTCCCAGGCTGAGCCCGGGTTCTCACCAGCACTCAGAGGTGTTCTCTTGTAGGCCTGCTCTCTCATAGAGGGCTGGTACCCAAGCATCAGGGAATTGTGGCAATAGGCACCACATCCTGAGCCCCTACTATGTGCCACATATGGGGGCTGGCTGCTGTGTTCTCAGTGCTTCTACCCTTTATCGGCACAGAGTAGGGGTTTCTACCCTTTATAGAATGATGAGGCTTTCTACTCCCGTAAGGATTTACACCCTCGGAAACCCTACAGGGTCGCTATGGGTCGGAACCAACTCGATGGCACTTAACAACAACAACAACAATAGAATGAATGAGAGTACAGCACCCAGCCCTGTATCTGGCACAGAGTAGGGGTTTCTATTCTTTACAGAGGAGTCCTGGTGCCGTGCTGTGGGTTAACACACTGGACTGAAAAGTCAGTTTGAACCGTAAGATCGGTGGTTCAAGTTCACCAGGAAACCCTATACAGAGTCGCTATGGGTGGGAGTAGACTTGATGGCACTTAACAACAACAACACCCTTTACAGAAGGTGAGGATGTTGGAGGGGCTGGGGGGACTGGGGGTGCTGACAGGACTCCTACCCAGAGCCTGAGCCTGCCCCTGAGGGAATGCACTGCGTTTGCAAACTGTGGGTGAGCTGTTGACCTTGGGCAAGTCACATCTCTCTCTGGTCCTCAGCTCTCCCCATCAACTCAGCACAATGAGGGACATAGGAACCCCTCTCTCCTCCACCCCCCCCTTTGATGTTTCAAAACTATTATGTGAAAATCTTACAGTCCAGGAACAGAGGACCCCAAGACCATCAAGAGAGAAGAGCATGAGTGGAATGCGGGACCCTATCCAGAGAAGCAGACACATCAGAGATAGAGGCAGAGATGAGGACATGGAGAGAGAGAGCAGCTGAGAACTCTAGACTCCTGGAAAGAGAAAGGCTGTGTGCTGGTGGCCAGGAGGCAGGCTTGCAGAATGTGCCCTTTGGTTGTTTAAAGGATTATATATTCCTGAGTGTTTTTGTGTACATCTCCACTCCACCCCACCAAAAAAAGAGGGAATAGAAGCAAATACTGTTGAATGATGATACCTGGAGGAGATTGTAATTATTGCAATGAACCGATAAGTGTAAAACCGATGTTCTCCCATGTGAACTATCTCTCAATCCACAATGTTGTTGTTATGTGCCGTGGAGTCGGTTCCGACTCATAGCGACCCTACACAGGGTTTCCAAGGCTGTAAATCTTTACGGGAGCCTCATCTTTCTCCCGTGGAACTGTTGGTAGTTTCGAACTGCTGACCTTGCAGCTCCCAGCCCGATTTGTAACCACTACGCTACCAGAGCACCTATCCACAATAAAACCTTAAAAACAAAAACCAGTTATATCAATATTGAAAACAACAATAAAGCTAGTATAGTTCAAACCCACCAGCTGCTCCTCAGAAACCCTATACAGGGTCGCTATGGGTCACACTTAAAAGCAATAGGAAAGATTAAAGCTACTGTTTTCAAAGATCTCATTTCATTCTCCTGGGAATTCTGAAGATGGGTGCCTTCAGAACTCCCACTTTGTAGATCAAGAGGATTACCTTGAGCCACACACCTGGTGAGTCAAAGACACCCAGTCCTGTCCCTTAACAGCATGGTTGGTCCCTTGTTCATAAATACACTTCCTGCCACCAGAGAGTATTTCTTGAGTCTCTGTTTTCTGCAGATAGTACCTCACAACAGGTCCTGTGAGGAAGAAACTATATTTATCCCCTTTTACAGATAGGGAAACTGAGACACGGAGAAATTAAGTGAGCATTCAAGTTAACAGTTAGCAAGTAGTAGCAGAGCTCCGATGTGAACTGAACCCAGGCTGTCACGGCTCCGGATCAGGTCTTGTAACCCCTGCACTGTCATAACTGAAGGTACAATACAGCATAATCAAGCCCACCCAGCTCAGACCAAAGAGACAGAAAACTAGGAGCCTCGAAGCAACTGGGGTGGGGATGGGATGAGGAGAGGTCAGCTTCTTGAACCCCTTGTTTATTTATCTAGTTTATCTGCCAGCAGGGGTGGTGGAGTCCCGTTTGGTGGAATGTCCAGGAAAAGTCCCCCTGGCTCGCTTACAGCCCCCTCCTCCACATTGCACCCTCATACACCCTCTTTCCTCAGGTCTTCCCCCTGTTTTCCCCACCTCACCGCTCCTGACTCGGGAGGAGGGAGCCGGTCTCGGCCAGATCTGGGGGAGGAGGGTCAGTGCACCCCGGGTGACCCCTGCGAACCGTGGACACCCGCAGTCCCGCAGCAGGGAGGGGCCGGGAGGCGGCTTGAAGGGGCTCAAGGGGAGGGAGGCTGGGAGTAGGAACCCGGGAGCCGGTTGGGAGACCAGGCTGTGGGGGGAGAGAGGCCAGGGTGGGGGGCAGGTGGGGCGCCGGGGGCAGGAATGGAGGGCTGTTTGGAGGAAGAGGCAGGAGGAGGAGAGAGCACAAGGGGCGGGAGAGGTAGGCGGTGCGGGGAGGGAGCCGGGAGGTGGGGTGGGGTGGGCAGCGCGCTAGGGACCTGGGGCGGGGACAGCTCCAAGCTGGACCCGCGCTACGAGCGCATTTTCTCAGTGCTCGCCGCCTCCGGCCATGCCTTGGGCTGTGCTCCTCGGTCTTCTGGCTGCGCTGCTGCTGCTTTTGCTGCTGACCCGCCGGCGCACGCGGTGAGTCCCCCGGCCTGCGGGCCCCGGCTCCCCTACCTGGCTGACGGGTCCCGGCACAGACAAAGGGGGCCTGGAGCAAGCGTGGTGGAGCCTACGGCAGGTCTGGAGCTGCCCCCCATCCCGGGATCGAGGGGTCACATTCCCACCAGCCAACCCCAGTGGGGAGACCCTAGTAGGTGGGAGTCTCAGGACCCTGCAAAAGGGGCTCCCGGACTGACCTCACCACGGCCATCACCAAGACAGGCCGGGCCGAGCCAATTCTGCAAAGAAGGCTCCAGGGGCGAGGAAAGGTGAGGGGACTGTAGAGCCCAGAGCTCATCTGCAGGGAACTCTGAGTGGGGACTGCGTGCATGTGACTCCAGGTGGAAGAAGCCCCCTCCCACTCTTCAGCGTCCACTCGATGTCAAACCCTTGTCTTACCGTTAGCAGTCCTGTGGGGCTTGCTGCTCATTCCCATTGCACAGATGGGAGAGTTGAGACTGGCGGTATTGAAAGCGCTGGGGGACCATCTTCCATGGAATCCCCGGCTTTGGATGCTTGAGGGTGGGTAGGCGTAGTATTTCCACTTGGCAAGGGAGAGACTGAGGCCCAGAAAGGGGCTTCGTCATCTGAGATCCCACAGGCGATTTGGTGGAGCCTAGGCTCAACTGCTGCGTCCTGGCTCAAGAAAGATTTCCTTTTCCACTGAGAACCTTTGATTTAGAAGAAAAAGTCAAACTCATGCCCTTCAAATCAGGCAGATGACAGTTTTTTTCCTTTTGTAAAATGTTTTTGTTTTTAAATTACACTAAGCATAGCAGAATACATTAGACTTCAAACAAAAGATTAACCCGTGCAGGTAAGACTGACCACCTCCCCTTGTTTTCTAGTCCTCTCCCCAAACCTCTCATGTTGATCAGTTTAGGGAAAACTTTCCAGATTAAAAATAATAATACTAACTCTTTTAGAATCTTTTGAGAGTTACAGAAAAGTTGCAAGGATAGTTAGAGAATCTTGGTATATGCCTCACCCAAGTTTCATCTCTTACCAGAGTACATTTGTCACAACTTACAGGCCAGCCTTGGTCTACCACTAGGAGCTAAACTCCAGATGGTGTTTGGATTTCACCAATTTTTCCATTAATTTCTCTCCTCGTTCTCTTCCAGGACTTGCTCTAGGATGTCAGATTGCCTTTATTTGTCATGTCCCTTCAGACTCCCCAGATGTTTTTAAAATCACTATTACATACAGGGATGTGCGCTTGTACAGGATACAGGACACTATGGTGTGTGTGTGTATGTTTATGTGCACATGTGTGTATATGTATGCACATGTATGTGTGTAGGAGGGTACGTCAACACGTGTTGCTACAAAAACAGAGAACCATTGTTAAACAAAATTATCAAAATGTGAAGCTATGATTTCTCTACATGTCCTCCATCCAAGTCATGTGCTTCTGAAGACAAAGTTTCTGTCTCTCTAACCCTCTGAAAACTTCTGTGCTCGTCAATTTATACCTTGTCAGAAAGGCAGCTTTGCCGTCCACCAGGAGTTCACATCCTGTTCCTTTGAAATGTTCTTTGACTTTGATGAACAAAGGAAGTCGAAGGGGCAAGACCAAGGTTGTAGGGTGGACGGGGTAAGGCTTCCCAATGAAATTCTCCTAGGGCTCCTTTGCTATTCTTGAAGAATGAACAGGCATTTTGTCGTGAAGGAAGACATTTCCTTGGATTTTTTTCTCATCAATACAGTTTTCTTAAAACTTCTTTATAATAATCTCCCCATGATTGTCCTGTTTCCTCTGAAAAAAATCTATCAAAACTAGCCCGTTGGAATCCTAAAAAACAGTCACCGTAACCTACTGAGCTGACCTCTCTGCCTTGAATGTAACTGGCCAGCTGATTCCTTCGGGAGCCATTTGTTTTGATTGCACTTTTTTTTTTTTTTTTAAAGGTACCATAACAACACTAAGGAGCTCTGGTAGTGTAGTGGTTACAAATCTGGCTGCGAACCTCAAGGTCAGCAGTTCGAAACTACCAGCTGTTCCATGGGAGAAAGATGAGGCTTTCTGTTCCCATAAAGATTGTCAGCCTCGGAAACCCTGTACAGGGTTGCTATGAGTCAGAACCGACTCCACGGCACATAATAACAACAACAACAACATAACAACACTAAGACAAGTGTATCACTGAGAGAATTTGTCTGCAGCACCTACTGATTTCAGAGACATGTTTAAGTACTGGAACCCTTTTGACTTATCCTCATACATGTATGTGTTTGTTATTGTTGAGCACCATCGAGTTGGTGCCTACTCATAGCGACCCTGTATAGAGTTTCTGAGGAGTGGCTGGTGTGTTTGAACCACTAACCATGCAGTTGGCAGTCCAGTGCTTATCCTACAGTGCCACATCAGGACTCCATACGTGTGGGTGTTGCTGTTTACCGTCGAGTGGCTTCTGACTGATAGCGATCCTGTATAGGGTTACCAAGGAGTGGCTGATGAGTTTGAACCACTGACCTTGTGGTTCAAACTGACCTTGCAGTCCAGCGCTTTATCCACAGCACCCACACCAGGACTCCATATGTGTGTGTAGATGTATGTATATATGAGGGGACTCCAAAAAGTGTGTGAAAATTCCATTATCTCCTAATTCCATTTTTTCCATGAACTTTTTGAAGCCCCCTCATATATGAATGTATGTATGTATGTGTATGTGTAAACTGAAATGTCTGAAAATTCTGAAACACAAGGAACTTTAAAATTTTTAAAAACAGTATGTTAGTTGAATTTTCAAATAATAAGTTCACTGTATTATTTTTCAACTTTCAGGCACATTTGCAGGTGAAATTTAAAGCCATGTATTCCATCACTTAAATGAAAAAGAAAAGTAAAAAACTGTGAATACACTTCTCTATGAAGAAATGAATTCTTTTCTCTAAGTTGTCAGGGTTTTTGGTACTCTGTTTAAAGACGTTTCCAGACTGCATATTTACTTTTTTCACTTCAGCTTTTCGTTTTGCTACATGGAGAGCTATTTGGTTCTTTTTATCTTCTGGGGGGTCGTTATTGTTGTTGGTGGACATCGAGTTGGCCCTCAACTCATGATGAGTGCATGAACAATGGAATGAAATACTGCTCAGTCCTTTCCATCCCCATGAACGGTTGTGATCCATAGAATTTTCAATGGTCAATTTTCAGTAACGGTGGCCAGGTCTTTCTTCCTAGTCTGTCTTAGTCTGGAAACTCTGATCAGCATCATAGCAACACTCAAGCTCCCTCTGATAGATAGTTGGTGTCTACAATGAGGTACATTGGCAGGGAATCAAATCCAGATCTCCACATGGAAAGCAAGAATTCTAGCACTGATGGACCAATGTCCTCATCTTCTGTGCAGTATTTCTTGATGTGAATAAGTTCTAGTTTTGTTTTTACCCATTTCCCTACTGATGGAGTTTTATGTTGTTTCCAATATTTTTGCTATTTCAGACCATGTGCTGTGTTCCTCCAGTGAGGGTCTCTGGCTTGGGTTTTTCTCGGGAGGGAATAGCTGGAGAAAGTAGTAAAGTTCACGGCTTCTGGGTACTTGGATATTTGGCATTGTCAGTGTATGAGATATGAGAATTCCTAGCCTGTGGGATGGTGTACACTGTATGTGACATCTTTCTGCCTCCATTACCCAATCTTTAGAATGGGGATGATGAGAAAACTGGGTTAGAAGGAATGCACATTTAACATCATGCTAGCTAATTCTTGCTAATATCTATCCAGAGAGCTATTTTACCTTTGCGGGTGAGTTTTTGATTTGCGTAGCTGTAGGTGACTTGGAAGGGTCAGCAATGGGGAGTTGGGGAGAAGTGTAGGTATGGGAGTCATGGGCAGCTTGGAGGAAGTTGCATGAACCTGGGGGAGACCCCATGTTGTTGTTGTTAAGTACCATTGAGTCAGTTCTGACACACAGCGGCCTTGTATAAGGTTTCCAATGACAGACTGGTGGGTTTGAACTGCTAATCTTGTGGTTAACAGTCCAGTGCTTATTCTACAGCAGTACACCATGACTCCTGGGAGACTCTCTAGGAACCCCAATTTAGAATGGAGCTCAGATGCACAATCTCATTTCCTCCTCCATATTTGGTGAGGGGTCATTCTGCCCCCACTTTAGAAAGTGGGGAACTGAGGCTCAGAGAGTCCAACCAACATATCCCATATCATTCTATGCTAAAATCTGGGCTGCAAGAAGGTTTAGTTCCAGGAAAAAGGAATTCACACTCTTCCCACACATTGTATTGGAGATCTGAAACCTTAAAAGTCTTGGAACCACATGATCTTGAACACAGTAAGAGATACAGCTTTGACCAGAGGATGATGCTTAAACCAGGGCAAATGCTCAGATGTTGAAAAAGAGGTGGATGAACTGATCCTGTGGAGACAGTGGACCAAAGGCTGGGTTGAAACAAAAAGACATCCCATTACCTACTTTGTCTCTTTCCTTTCTCCTGACCATCCTTATCATCACCCGTTTTCTACAGCAGAGGGTTAGAAACTTAGAGATGGTAATAGACCGTATTATATCCACATTTGTTGACTGATTCAAAATTCCTGCTTTGTTCCATTTAAAAACACACACACACACACACACACACAAAACTTTGTTTCGGTTGGTCAGCTACTCTGTATTTACCTCCAGCATTAGGTTTTTGTTTTTATGTTTTACTTTCTCGTTATGAAAAAGTCAAACTATACAGAAAAAATAAAAAACAACTAACCTAATGAGGCTTTCTACTCCCGTAAAGATTTACACCCTCGGAAACCCTGTACAAGGTCGCTATGGGTCGGAACCGACTCCACGGCACTTAACAACAACCAACAACAACAACCTAAACATTGTTAATAAGTTAGCGTCATGGCAATGGGTTTGATTCTTTTTTTTTTTTTTTTTTTAAGTCCAAATTCAAAATTTTGCAATCTCAACAAGAATTTGTAAGCCCAGGTCAGTAACTGCTGAACACCAGTTACTGGTGTG